TTCTATAAATTTATCCTGCAGAACAGCCCTCCTACCCTTGCTATGTCGTTGGTGCCAACATGCACCACGACAACTGGATCCACCCCTAGCTGGGGCCAAAAGCTTGTCCGCGCTTTCCGGAAGGTCTCCTACCTGGGCACCAGGCAGGCAAGACACCGTACGGGACCCTCTATCACGCGTGCACACATAACTGTCTACTCCCCTAATAATTGAATCCCCTACTACCACAACCTCCCTCTTTCTGGGGGGAGGGGGCTCCTCAGTGCCCAAGGGAGTATTTACACTGCAAGTTGAGTTTTGGGTCTTTGCAATCCATTTCTTCGGAGTTTCATTTCTGATGTGCACCTTCCTGAAGTTGGGTGGCGTGGTGGTGCAGTGGTTAGCACTGTTGCCTCAGACCTCTGGGACCAAGGTTTGTGTGTGGAATTTACATGTTCTCCCTGTGTCCTTGTGGGGTATCCTTCAGGAACTGGAGTCCAAAAACAGCCCAGAAACATGCTGAGGTTGAGTGAGTGGTGTGTGAGTGATGGTGAGTGAGTGAATGGTGAGTGAATGGTGAGTGAATGATGAGTGAGTGGTGTGTGAATGAGTGGGTGTGAGTGAATGCTGAGTGGTGAGTGAGTGGGTGTGAGTGAATGGTGAGTGAGTGGTGTGTGAGTGAATGGTGAGTGAGTGGTGTGTGAGTGTGCCCTGCGATGGGCTGGTGCCCCATCCTGGGTTGTTCCCTGCCCTGCGTCTGTAGCCTCTGGGATAGACTCCGGAAGCCCGTGACCCTGAATAGGATAAGCTATTACAGTAAATGGATGGACACCTACTGAAGTCAAACATAATAACATCATCCTGACACACTCCGTTCTTAGTGAAGAGAAATCATTGAAATGCACATTAAGGTAGCATTCTAAGGTGTGCTGTTGATCTCCACTTCCTGTGGGTTACTCTGTTGATCCCCACTGGGTTAAATACCCATTGGTCCATCTCAGATGGCCTTGTCTGCTACTTCCAGATACCCTACTGTCACTGTACTACAAACATGCAAGGAATTGTGGGTAGGTGGGTATTTCCAGACCTGAAGGCAAGCACAAGGACATGGGGGCTTGTGCATTCAACCAGCGGGTCACCTGAGACGCAGAAGACAGGATACAGAGAGTCTGGATGTGTAATCATTAATGGCAAATGTTCGCTTGTGGGTAAGACATTAAAAGCACATATTTCTCCTCCCTGCTCAGTGCCAAAACACCCACAGAAGGAAAAAGATCTCTGGCCTCCCTGTGACTTGGTTCCTTTTACCTGGTTATTAAGGAAATTGCGGTGAGTGGATGTGTCTTGTCTTCCGTTTGAGTGTGTAGAGAAGGTCTCATCAGATACAGGATGAAATAACCATAATGCAAATGTTCTGTTTGGCGAAACCAGAATCTCACTTGTTTTAATGTTTGAGAGTGGGTTGGGGCTGGGGGTGGTGGACGCAGAAGCCTTGAAGGTCACAATGTATTGTTTTTGGCCATTATGAAGGGAGTCTTCTTGAATTAAAACCATCTACATCTAGCTGTAGAGACTGCAAAACAGGGAGGAAAGTCCGAGACACCACCAGAAGACCCGCAGACCATGGTGTCACCCTGCTCTTTGGTTGTACGGACTATAGATGGTGTATCATACACTATTTATCTTTAATTCTTGTGGAGGGTAACTGAACAACAATAAGGGGCAATAAAAAGAAAAAAAAGGGAATTTTATAGTGTGCGTATTTAATTAATAATTACTACAGGGTGTTAATTACTTGTTGAGTCAAAGTTAATATAGCTTGTTGGTGACTTTAGACTGAGGAAATCAGAGTAACCATAGAAAAGCCAGACAACAGGGGCCAAGGAGGCGAATTCCACACATACAGGGCCAGGGGTGGGATTAGAACCCCCTTACATTAACCACTGTGCCACCCTCAGTACAAATGACATTTTAAAAACTTTCTTTTACTCCTGAAGTGTTCTTATGCAAACCAATTTTTAACTAACAAATTACATTTGAACCTCAGCTGTAACTCTGCGTTCCCATTTCCACACAAAAACAAAGTGGTCCTTTTCCACGTAGATCCATACACACACTTCCACGATGGGCGCCTCTTGGATCGTAACCAAAGCGTGTTTCTGCAAACAAAACAACAGCTTTTTAGGGTTTATTTTGTTTTTTCAAACCCACAAATCTCCAAGGGAACAAAGGTGTAAAAATAAAACAGAGAAAAGTGATTAAAATGTCCTTGGATTTATTAAAAACAAAAACTAAAGTGACGAGTGACATTTGAGTGGGTCTCCTCCCTCACACACCTGGAATTACTTCTGACAGCTGGAGGAGCTAATTGTTGTCACCCACTGCAGCTAATTAAAATTTTTTAAAATACAACTGCAAACAATGCAGTTACTCTGACAGGCTGCTGATGTGGACTGATCACATGATCTGTGAAGCTAATACACAACACTCTCCGGCACACTCCATTCCATGTGAGGAGCGATTGTCCCCATAACGTCCCGGGAGTCATCCAGACGCGTCTCATCCTTACCGAACAGGCTGCATTGTCACACCATTAATCTTCATTGCATACATATAGAGCTGGAAATTAAGCTTACCCACTTGCCTGAGGCGAGTAACTTAGATGAAGGACGAGCACAAAAAATGTAACACTTATCCCACTGGCTTGTAAAAAAAATCATGCTGGACAACGTTTTTTTTAGCCCAGTTGGCTAGTAGCAAAAATTCTCAAGTTCCACTCCTGTGTGCATCCTGCCAGTCTGTGGCGAATATCCTCAGACTTTGGTTAACATTTTGATGGCCAAATTAATGCCTCGTGAACCATTTGCTGTATTTTCTGATCCCACTAGATGGTGCTCTCTATTCAAAAAAGGGCTCAAGGCATGTTCCAAAATAAACCAAGGGCACCATCTAGTGGGGTCAGAAAACACAGCTTATGGTTCATGAAGCGTAATTTTGGCCATCACTAGTTAACATTACAGAAGAGGGCACAGCGGCCCCTCCTGATTACATCCAGTGCTGCATCTTCTAAACCCATGGGGCCTTTGTTACTTTACTACATTTAGTCTGCATCCACTGGGCTTGACAGCAGGACCAGCAGGTGGTGTAGCGGTTAGTCACCAGCTCAAAAATCCTGTCATATCAAGTTCAGGACGATCATGGCATCCAAAGACCCTTTCCCCCGTTACTGTTCCAGGTCGTGTAACCGAAGATGGTCACTGGTGCCAATAGTTCCAACGTGAGCTTCCCGTGCGACTTCAACGAGCACTTCAAGTACATCCTGCTGCCAGTGAGCTACAGCCTGGTGTTTGTGTTTGGCCTGGCGCTTAACTGCGGCGTCATGTACGCCATCATGTTCCAGACCCGGCGCTGGAGGGCTGTCACCGTCTACATGCTCAACTTGACAGTGTGCGACACGCTCTACGTGCTCACGCTACCCTTCCTCATCTACTACTATGCCGACGAGAACGACTGGCCGTTCGGGGAGCCGCTCTGCAAGCTGGTACGCTTTCTGTTCTACACCAACCTGTATGGCAGCATCCTCTTCCTGTCCTGCATCAGCCTGCAGCGCTTCCTGGGCGTCTGCCATCCGGTGCGTTCCCTGGGCTGGGTGGGCAGCCGCAGCGCACGCCGCATCTCCGCCGCCGTCTGGCTAGCCGTGGTGTCCTTTCAGGCGCCCATCCTGTACTTCTCTCGCACGAGACAGACGGGCACCGGATGCGTGTGCCACGACACCACCAGCCGTGAGCTCTTCCCCCACTTCCTTGCGTACAGTGGCGTTGTGTCGATGTTGCTCTTCTGCGTGCCCTTTGCTGTGGTGGTCGCCTGCTACGGGCTCATGCTCCACAAGCTGCTGGAGGTGCCGCCGGTCCCGGGCTCGGCGGCGGCACGCTCCAAGCAGAGGTCCGTGAGGACGATTGCCGTGGTGCTGATGGCCTTCTTGCTCTGCTTCCTGCCCTTCCATGTGACACGTAGCGTCTACTACAGCTTCCGCTACCTGGATCAGGCGGTCGGCTGCGAGCTGCTGGCCGCTTCCAATGCCGCCTACAAGGCCACGCGGCCACTGGCCAGCGCCAACAGCTGCCTCGACCCCATCCTTTACTTCATGGCGGGGCGGGGCTTCCGCTGGAGTGTCACCGGCCAGAGGAATGTCAGGCAACCGCCTGCGGCAGCTGAGGCTTCTCTCCCCGCTAACAAGGTCTGACTGGCTAAGCTGGATCTCAGAAGCTGTGCACTCAGGGGGAAAAAGGGACTGGCACTGATATACTGACAGGAGGATCTAGGAGGCCAGTTATAGAAGATTTAAAAAGGTACTTATGAGGCAGCATACAGGCTAGTTAGCCCTCCAGTTCATGCTGCCTGAGCTGCAATCTGCAGTGTGGTTCACTGCAATCTGCAAGTCAGGCAGAAAGGAGAAGAGGTTTGCGTGGAATAGAGACTGAATATTTCAGGGCCGGAGAACAAATGTTTGCCTTTCCTTGTTCTATGTCCTGCTATCCTCTTTGCGGCCAAGAACATGTTAGCGTGAGGAAAGTTTTCTTCAATTTGTTTCTTGTATATCCAGCATTATTCATTTTGCTCTAATATCTCTAAAACACTGCAGACAAAACATTTTCCTAATCGAGTGGGTGTGAATTCACGAGACGTAAACACGATGATTATTAAAGCATGACTGTGTCCTTGTCATCGGTTGCGTAACAGACTTTCAAAGAACCACCTTGTGCTTTGTCAGTGGGGCAGTCAAGTGTGATGTACAGACATGCCAGTAGAGGGAGCCACTGTCCAACTATTGTAACCATTCTTGTTTGGTACGAAGAGGAATAGAGATATATGGATATGAAAGGACGCAAGCTGCAGCTTCCCGTGTATAGAGGAAAAAGGGGAAGATTTAAGCAGCCAGAAATGGGAGGATTTACACTGGAGTCTGAGGCATCAAGCTATCCCTTTAAACAGCTCTTTCCCCAAAACATCCCAGAATTCCCTTCAGAATTCCCACATCACGCTCTCTAACAGTGCAAGCTGAGTCAACATTTGGGGGTCCCTGGGGAATGTTCGTTAGACTGCCTTGGACCAACCAAGGAGAGAACTGATGCGAATCATAGAGCCAAGATGGAGGCACGTTTAAATAAATTGGTTCTTTATTTAGAGTACAAATTTCAAGAATCTGCAATAAAATAAATAATACCTGCCAGGTCATACAGACAAATGTTTTTTAAACCATGACAGTTAACACGGGTCAGAAGACACATATGGACGTGTCCTGAGGGAGGACATTGAAGGACACAGATGTAAAAAGGAAGTGAAAAACATACAAAATACAAAAAGAAAAACACACCCTCTCTCTGTGTGTATAAATGTCATGTAAACTGCCATAACCAAACTGTAATGCCGTGGTAAGTTGGCGATTTACGCCACTGACTGAAGCAGACAAAATTCACTGTAAGTAGTAAAAACACTGAGAGCTGTACTTCAATGCCTTGATGATCAAATACAACACCAACAGCGCAGATCTTTGGAGGATCATGCAAGATATTTATGTTAAAGCTTATTCCACCGCAAAGATGAATTAGCTTGATGGCTCTTGGAAAGGTGGCCATCTTCCCTTCGGACGGTAGTATGCTTATACGTGTATATCAGCGAGTTGTCCCGCACATCTCTGATCTCACGCTCAGCTCCTGACTCTCATCCCACGCAGGTGGGCTGCGCACCATGGTTAGCCGGGCTGAGCTGCACACAAGCCCTGTGGCTGCACTCTGTGTCCCAAACCAAACTGACCAGGTGCCTCATGCTTTAAGAGAAACTGTGGCAGGATGAAACATCACCCCCTGGTGGTCACAAATGCTGTATACTCTTACGCTACACAATTATGCTATGATTGCACATAAACAGCTTATTATAAAAAGCTTTGATGCAGGAGGCCTCCTTTAATACTAGACAAAACCGAACTGTTAAGAACTGAAGCAGTGGAGAATCTGTTGAGTACATTTCTATAAAGGCTTTTGTCGAAGTTCGAGAATTTTTTTTTTTTGATTGTTTGCATAAGCCAAAACAAGAAAGGGCGAAGCAGAAGCAGATCGCAGGGCAGGCATGTCCAATCAGGAGAGTCAGCCACTGCACAGAAACTGCAGCCACTGCAAGTTCTTACTCCCTCGCAGAACCCATTAAAAAAAATTAAAAGAACCTGAACCAAAATCAGACTGTGGAAGAAGGAATCTCCGCCTGGGTCACGGCGTGTCCAGCTCGGACAGTCAGTACCGGCGGCTTGATTTAAAAAGAGATGAAGACATTCTGCACCTGACATTTACAGTACTGTCTTATTGCTTATTGCTCATGTTGAAAGGCAGAGGCAGGAGCGGCTCCGACCGTCGCGGAACATGCAGCTCAAGCAAGGCCTGTTTTAGCTGCTGCAGCCGAAGAATCTCATAATCGCATCCGTCCAGATACCACTAATGACAAACCTACGCTCTTGAATATCCCACCCCCAAGCTGGGGTGTCTAGCTGGTGTGTGAGGTGTACAGAACACACGGGGGTTCCCTTCTGGAAGCACAACTGTAGAGGTCATTATTACAGTCCCCATCTTCCTAATTAGAAGCTTAAAACTGGTTATTATGTGATAACTGGGTATTTTGTGATAAATGCAATTAAAACTCTGCAGTGTCCAACCAGCCCCCCACACACACCCTCACTGCCATCGGGGTCTTGGGTACTTCTTCCAGAGGTGAGCCATCTCCCAGAATGCCGTTCTTCTTAGCAGTTTACCTAAGAAAGAAGAAATAATGTTAATAGTTAATGGTGATGAATAATGGCTTTGATTGACAGGTGCTGATCCCTTCGCTTCCCAAAATAAAGGGAGAGAGATAAGAAATTAGACACAAACATGAGCATTTGGGAGAGAGCTGCAGTTAGTCATGAGTATCATGGAGTAATTAGTGACTAAACCTGAGCCAGTGGTTTGGAAGTGAAATAATGAGTGATTAGTGAGAGACAGAGGGACAGAAGCAGGTAGTGAGGGACAGAGGAGGGTAGTGAGAGACAGGGGGACAGAGGCAGGGACAGGGGGACAGAGGCAGGTAGTGAGAGACAGGGGGACAGAGGCAGGTAGTGAGAGACAGAGGCGGGTAGTGAGAGACAGGGGGACAGAGGCAGGTAGTGAGAGACAGAGGCGGGTAGTCAGAGAAAGGTGGGAAGTGAGAGACAGAGGGACAGAAACTGGCAGCGACAGACAGATGTATAGTGAGGGAGAAAGGAACAGAGGCAGGTAGTGAGAAACAGAGGGACAGAGATGGACAGTGAGGGACAGAGATGGACAGAGGGATATACCCAGGGCCACTAATGGCCCACTGTATTTCCTGCGTTTTTATTCCGTGATACCCAGGGCACCCCACCTCCACCACAAATATCAGCACCAGCACCTGCACCAGCACCAGCAGCAGAACAGCATAAAATGCTGTTTACCTTTTAAAAGACCAGATTAGTCTCACCCAGTGTTATGATCAGTTTCCCCCTCTGGAAGAGTAAGACATGCGTTGGTTACAATCTGCTTTTCTCTGTCTGTCTGTTAATGTCTCTGCACAGTTTGTGGGGGTCTCATGTGGGATTTCCTGAAGCTTCTGGCCCAGCAAATTCGCTCACCTCCTGCTTGCTCTTCGTCCGCTGGCCGATGGAGGAGGTAGAGGAGTGAACTCCAAGCAGGGACGTCTCTTCGGCGGGCTCCATGCGTGCCGTGTCCACTGAGTCATTGTCACTCAGTTCGGGGCTGTTTGCATCCAGGGGATCTGGGATCTGAGCCACTTGGAACCTGGGGGGGGGGGGTGGCAAGTTTGATTGACATGGGGGTGGAGCTTCCGTGAGGCTGGGGGGGTGAGGGGTGTAAAGCTGACCCACCCCAAGGAGGACTAGGTAAACATGCAGTAACCCTAATACATTCACATGTACAAATGCCCGTCCTCACCTGCCCACAGATAGAATGGTGACCTCCCCGGGCAGCGATGCCTGGGCAGGCTTGTTGGCCTCGCCCTTTTGCTTGTGGGAATGGTCCTGGGCATGATTATGGGTAGAAGGAGTCAACAGAAGCTCAGGCCATTTTTTTTGGCTGCAGCGAGAACAGCAGTACGTGCCGGAGTGGAGGGCCAGCCCGTTGATGGTGTGAGGATGGCGCTGGTGTGGGCACAGGCGAGGCAGCGAGCGGAACTGGACCAGGGGAGGCAGAGCTGGCAACCTGGGAAGGAAGGTGGCCTGTCACCAACAGGGGGCAGCAGAATGCACAGCTCAGCACATTTACACAGTGTGAATTACATAGAAATAGGCCACTTCCTGGCCCAATTGTTACAAAAGAAATAGCAGAGCCCGTTCTGCGGTGTCTACACATGGGGGGGGGGTGTACTTCTTGATGACTTGCCTTTCCAAAAACATTTAAATATTGGCAATTTTACGGGTCTTTCCTGTCGGGCATGACAAGACAACAGGCAGCGCAAGTCACGTAAGGACACTGTCAGAGCAGTTGTATCAGGGGTGGGGGGTTGAGGCGAGTTCACTTTGGGCCACCCTGGGACCGTGCACACAGGGAGCTGGAAGTGGGACGGGCCTCCGGAGATGATCTGGCGGTCCCGGATCAGCCTCCTGACAAAGCAGAGAACGGCCCGTAACCACGGAGACGGCCTGTGTCCGAGCGCCTCCGCTTTGTGAGCTGTTAATCCAAGGGGGGGTGATTGCTGTGGTAGGAAGATCAGGTGACACCGCGGGCGAGCACCTGGACCTACAAGGCCACAGTGGCTGTGACTCAAGGCTCAGCACTTACGCCACGGCTGGAACGAAATTCAAGGAGCTGACGGCAATCGCTTCCAGGGGTCAGGTGACTCTACATCCCCACCCAGTGGTCTTTCGAGGTCACTGCGTTAATGCCTCATTTAGGGCCACATGAGGACATGTGTAAATAAAGCCGGAAATAAGAATGAGTGAGGAAGAGGAGGAGGGCCTATGGCGGCGGTGTTGGGGCAGGCGAGTTTCTCACTTGAGGGCTGAGGTCTTGTTGATGGCTGCCTGCTGGCTCTCATACTCCAGGAGAAGCTCCTCCAGAGCGGCTGCATTCTCTGTGGGGGGGGGGGGGTTACCATTAAAGTGTGCCCCCCTCCTAAAAAATCTGAAGTTCTACAGAACCCCTGCGGTACCTTTCTTCTCTGTGATGAGGCGCACCAGGACGCTGATGGTGTCTTCGTTGGGGTCATCCACGATGTACGGGCCGGAACTCGCTGCGGGGACACAGGGACAGGCTGCTAGGCCGAAACTGGGAGAAGAAACCGTTCGCGTGTTTGGTTTGAACACTGAGGGCCTCAATTTTGTTTTTTTGTTTCTGTTTTTACCACTACAGATTCCAGAATGAGAACAATCAAGAAAAGGCGTGTTAGGCTTTAAAATGTATGCTTTTATGCAAAAGATACCACAGATTTACAAGTAATAACCAATATAATTAGTTTCATATGAGTCTTGTATAATATGCTTTTTTGAAGAAAAAAAAATACTTTAAATACTTTCCCTGAGTTTATATTCTCTCACCCACCCTGTAAAGACAACGAGTTTCCTTCAAATAAGTCTGGGGACCACTTTTGCATGCAGTAAGCAAGTGAACAATGAGTGGGGCCACAGGCATCAGAACACCAGTATCTATGGCAACAAGGCCTTTCCCATGATGGAAGAGCAGATGGGAACAGAGAGGCTCCTCTCAGAGGAGGACACCTTTAGCCCGTTAGCATGTCTGCCGCAAGTGCGGGATTGTAATTTTAATTGATCCAGGGATTTTGTCTTTTGCACACGCTACAGTAACCCAAGGCGGTCGCTTCTGTGCTACAGAAGAAAGGCTTTTATACTCCCCTGCAGTCAGACACTCATGCTCTGTAACAGTGAGTGGCTCAGCTGGATCAGTGGATGGCATCCAGTGACGGCTCTGCCACCAGCTGCTAACCTCCAAGGGGCAGGTCTTGGACTAGTGCACCCGAGTCCACAAGAATGCTAACAGGCTAATAGCTAACTGGCGCCGCGTCTGGTCAATAAAGCACAACTGGCCCGAGTATCACCCACATGAAAGTGACAGAGCTTACTGTTCCACTGCTGAGGAGAGAGAATGTGGCCACTGGGGGGCGGGGGATCACTGGAGTTGGGGAAAATGGCAAACGAGCAAAGGAAGAATGCTGAAGTGGCCATATGGCAAATAAAGGTCCATTTATCTAAGCCAGGCCTGAAGGGAACCTGATTGGGCTAGAGAGAGCCTGACAGTGGCTGGACAGAGCCAGAGTGGGCAGGACAGAACCGAAGTGGGCTGGATACGGCCAGAATGGACTGAACAGGTCCGCTGTGATGCAGCTGTAGATTATCTGCCACCCAGGGAGTACAGCGAGGACACAAACTAAAAGGCAAAGCTCACATGAGCTGAGCGTGATCATTACACGCAAGTGACGGCCGTGTCATCAGGGACACAGATTCGGGATTTTCAGGTTTCAGGTCCCAGGAGATGCGTCTCTGCTGTGTCCTTCCAAGAGGCACTTAACCTGCCGTGTGCTGCTGCTATTAAAGTGTAACCGCCGTAACTCGCTGTAGACGAAAGCAAAGCTATTTTTAAAATGCACAATAAAATGACAAGAGCGCAACCCTGGGCCTGTGTCAACGCGCTGCCATCGCTGTCCAGAGTGACTCACCCCGTCACCGTGCTGCAGCAAGCTGTGACTTAACTGGGCCACTGTGTTATCGGCACGCAGTGTTCCGGGGGGAAGCACACTCTCCAGTGCTCCCCCATCCCATGATGCATGCTGGGAGATCAATGGGGTCCAGGCCCCAAAAAAGGCTCCTAATGGGGCTGGTCCCTATTCAGATGGACAAAGGACTGGGCTTGGATCCCAAAGCCTAACTGATGAGCCCCACTCTGAACCTCCGGGCAGGACAGGTGCCCTCTGGCAGTCTCACCCCCCCGAGCTTTTCAAACCCGGAACCTCGGATCCACAGCAACAGAAAGGAGCGCCCTCCAGCCACGGGACGCGTGCATGAATTATTGATGTGGGAAAGACAGCGCCCCCCCCAGGCCTAGGGTACAGCAGGTCATCGATCAGAGGCACCGAACGTCTATTAAAATAAAATCATCATCTTGAACGGGGAAAGTATGGGAAAAGTGCATTATTCAGGACACAAATACAGAAAGAGGAGGAACATTCCGTTCAGCAGTTAGGCTGACGTTAATCACACGCAGGTACAGCCTGACGCAGCGAGCACAGGCGTGAGCGTGCCCCCCCACCTCACATGAGCCCATTCTGTGCGAGTGCCAAGCTACACAGTTTCCCATGACATTGGAGCCGCTGCCGCCGCCTCCCTCCCACTCTCTTCCGATGGCGTAAGGTGTCACCTGACCCCGGGCGTCTGCGGGGGAAAGCGCGGCGAAACCATCCGTACCTGCCAGCAGTGCCTCATGAAATAATCACTAATATGGGCTGTGTGTGTGTGTGTGTGTGTGTGTGTGTGTGGTTCTGGGGGTTAGGGTGCTGGGTCTGTACTAGAAAAAATGTCTGCTAAAAGTGTAACATGAGGGAGAGCCAGGAACACGGTCCCCTAAATGACGAAGGATATAAGAGCAGCCATATGCATCCTTATGTTGTGTGGGCTGTGCGGAGTCAGACATGCAGCTGGGATATGAGGCGGGGCTTACCCTCCTTATGGGGCGTGCCCACCTCTGCAACTCCGCCCTCTTTGTCCCCCGTGCAGTTGTAGCCCTTCTTCTTCAGGATGTTGCAGATGAGGATGCCCAGCAGCCCCGTGACGCAGAAGACGGGCACCAGCGCGAACACGGCGTACTCCGCCGTCTCATCTGTGCCACGCACATTGGTGGTGTTGACATGGGGGGTGCTCTTGCTCACGCTGCGGGCCACACGCACCAGCGGATCCAGCGGTGCTGTCCGGATCAAAGAGGACACGGTCTTCTCAGTTTCAGTGGCTGTCTTGGCATAGCCCGCAGCTCCTGCTTTCACTATATTTACTAACTGCTTTCACTATATATATATATCTATGTCCCCCCTGACTGCAGATCTATGTCCCCCCTGACTGCAGATCTATATCCCCCTGACTGCAGATCTATGCCCCCCTGACTGCAGATCTATGCCCCCCTGACTGCAGATCTATGTCCCCCTGACTGCAGGTCTATGCCCCCCTGACTGCAGATCTATGCCCCCCTGACTGCAGATCTATGCCCCCCTGACTGCAGATCTATGTCCCCCCTGACTGCAGATCTAAGTCCTTCACCATGCATCAGTCTTTTTCATGTGAATTTGCTATCTGTTAGTTTGGATTTTCGTGGCCGGCTCCTCATATTCAGTACAGTTTGTGGATGTTGACATGGCCCAACATCGCCCCTCAGAGCAGATTTCCCTGCTTTGATAACAGGATGTGACCTGCTGGCAGATGAAAAGAAGGGGCCGCATTAAAGCCCTTTGATGTCCCATGAAGACGCAACACACACTCACATGTCACACAGGCCTGGAGGCCTCCGGGCGTCGCTTCGGTGGGGCTGGAGAACCTGCAAGACAGCAGCCGGAGTGAGGACCGCGCCGGTTTCTCCGCAGTGACGGTCAGCAGACGCCCCGGCCCAAAAGAGGCCCACAGAGGAACACGCGCGGACCTTTGATGAGAGCCACAGCAGGCCTGCAGCTGCCACAGACCTGCCCTCCCCATCCTAATGGACCTGCCCTTCTTCGCACCTCGTCTGAAAGCCCATAGGACTGCTCATATGACTTGCCATATCTGCTCGGGCATCATCCCTGTCTTTAAATAGTTAATGGGCATCGTCATTCTGCCTGCAGCCCTTCCTAGTGCCAGTGCTACGATCTGCTGCGTTTGAAGGATCTGTCCTCCAGGGCCGTATCTATCTATGTGTCTATTTTCTAAATAACCAGTGGACAAGGCGGCTGTTTGTGACATTGCCATAATTCCCGAAACCTTACCTTTGACGTGTATTTTGTACATAATTGCTGTGCGGTCACTCTGTTGTTGCGTGTGACATTTGACTACACTGACGTCAGGCAGTGAGACGCATCCTGTCACCTTTACTGGCCCGACTGGATGGGACACAAAGAGATGGGACAAGACAGGGCAGATGGGTGTCCTACAGGGGCACCACTGCTGATGTGGACACGATACTCAGGCAAGAAAGCCAGGCCGGCCAGTGGAACCCTGTGCACGTTTTTGTTTGTGTCCGACGGGCTGCATGTATCGTATTTAACAATGGAAGAAGTGATGCAATTCCTGCCCCACGGTGGTGAAAGCGCGGTTTCGGAAAAATGCAGTAAACCGACCTAAAACATGGTCTCACCCGCGTAAACAGCGCCCACAGAGGGTGTCGCTGCGGGCCCGGCCCGGCCAGACGAGCACGCGGTTCAGGGCGCTGCATGAGCGGTGAGGCCGGCATGGCTCCGCGTCATAGCCGTCCGAGAAGGTGCCCGCGGGGCACGCCTGGCATCGCAGGACCCCGGCCGCCTCCACAGCTCTCCCGCAAGGCTGCAGGTAAAGTATGATTCAGCTCCACCATTCAGGGCTCAGCATTCAGAAAATATTACTTTGGCCGCAACTCTGCAGTGATGCCAAAATGGACAATTGTTAAGACTCAAATGGATGGGCTACAGTCAAGGTCAGACACATCCAGATTGTTAAGGGGGGAGTAGGGATGGAGGGGCTGTTTGTCACAGGGCAAAAATGAGGGGAGGGGGAATTCTCTCACCTGGTTGGGCTCCTGCCCGCGTGGACAGTGCAGACAGACACACCCCTGGCTGGTCAGGACCTGCCCTCCCCCACACTGCGCTGCCGCCTGAGAATCCCCGGGGCTGAACAGCTGAGGGGAGATGAGGGGGGGCTCTCAGAACGGAAGACAGATCTGTGCCAAATATTCTTCGGCCTCTCAGACAAACAACCCACCGTTACACGTATCCATCAGTGCGGAAGTGAGCAGCCTTTTCAGGCTCTCTTAGCAAGTCGGTAAACCAAGGTTAACCAGAGCCTGTTATCCTAACCAACCACACCAGTAACTTTGGCCCCCATGCAAATGCATGGTTTGAGTGGTGGTAAATACCACCGCTGTTTCTACTCAATTATATTTTCTGGGGAGGGGTGGATGGAGTGTCACATTACAGGGCACAACAGCAGAAATCCTGGAACTCTGTGGTAGTCATTAAACAGGGCGCCCCCTGCTGCCCCGTTTCTGCACATGCACGCAGAAAGCCCAGCATGGATGAATATGTCAATGTCAAGCCTTAAAAGTCAGTGCCAATGTTACTCCTCCAGCTCACTGAAGTTCATACTTTTCCATCAGTAAAAATGAAAGAGAAGAAAAAAGATGAGCGTAAAGCTTATATATTCTGTGGCCCTCAGCAGGATTTGTAGTTAGAAGAGGGATGAAGCTTAAATATGAAGCCTTTCAGACTGATTCCGAGAATGGCTTGACGGACTTACAGCAAGGAGCACAAGGGCTGCGCTGTAAAGGCGGTTCCTCATCATCTTCAAGGTGATCTTCTATGAACATAAGACCTGAGAAGACAGAGGGTCATAGGAGATTAGCCCACAATGGTCATCAGGGAATGAGACAGAATCCATCAACAGTGATGAGATCTCAAAAACTCAAGACTGTTACTCAGATGGGGACCGACTTAGGATTTACTGGTGAACCAACAGCAAGACGGTCCTGTACTAAAAGGCCATAACTAACTAGCCAATAACCAGATGACCGTGTCAAACATTGACTTGACACTAAACCAGGATGCCTCAACACCTGGGATTTAGGGATTGTCTCAAATTCTGCCTAAACACAGATTACACCTTCAAATGATAATCAATTATAATGCATGCGACTACATGCCATTTCAACTGTGCTGGCGTTTCATCTAAACTTTCAGCCAGAGGGAAAATGAAAGGTTACCGTTTTGTAAAAATAACGATCCTTCGATGGATTTGCAAAGTGAATTGCACACACCAACCCCTCGGGGTGACTGTTTCACAGTCAGATGCAGAAACACAAATTCCCACGAAATCCCCCTACCCCCCCCACCCCCCACCCTCTACCTCCGCCGTGTCAACTAGCAATATCCACCTTGAAGTAGTGAAAAACAATTTTGAAAAGCAGTGAGTAAAATTGAGCGGGCTGGGGAGTGCCTGTTGAAGCCCGGTCTCTAACGGGACCCCGGAGCAGAGATGAGAGTTATGTGGTACAAAAGATTAGAATGAAAGCACTGACCGGACAAACACCATTATATTTTTAAATATACCAAAGGAAAATCATTAAAAATGAGCATGAAGGGGACAGGATCAGTATTAAAATGCAGTGTTAAAAATTGGATTTGATTTTATTTCAGGAAATCTGTGCAGGGATGGATGCTGCACATCTTTTTCCGAATTCCCCTCTGGTTTTGTGGGGACATCATCATGTTCACCTCCTCGGCACCCAAGGCCCCCACATTGCCCTCTGCCCCCACCTGTGGAGGTGCTGGAAGGGCCATACTGTGGTCAAGACCGTGGAGCTCATCACGCTCAGCCAGATCTCTGCCACAGACATTATTGGGCAACAGGAGATTTTGCAAAAAACAAAAACCCCGTAACTGCAGCATAAATTGACTCTGATTTGATAAACTGGACATAGACGTCATATTTAGGACAGAAGGAACATTCTGGCTGTGCAACACCAGAAAGACAGGTGAGATTAAACATGAAAGAAAACATGAACACCTCACACTTGTGTTCAGAGTGGAGGGAAACAGATGCTGAAACAGGAATGAAACAAAAGCATGAGACTCCCCCCAACATGAAATGAATAAGCACAGGATGCGTGGTTAAAATTACGAATGCAGACTCACCCCAGGGCTGCAGGCTCAGAACGGATCCTCAAGGCCGAGATGCAGGTCAATCGCAGAGCACTCTGAGATCTACGCCCTACCTGTCCGAGGCCAGCTGTCTTATACCATTACTCAGAAGAAAGCTCCGCCCCTCAGCAGCCTGGCTCCGCCCACCACTGCCCTCCATTCAGCCCCATGCTCGGATGATGCCACAAGTGAGCTTCTGGACAGCTCTGGCCAGTAATCACAGACACAGGATGCCGGGGAAACGCTGCTTCGTGTGGCTGCCTCTGTGTCCCCACGTCCCACGCAAACCCGTAGGACGCAAGCTGTCCCGTTTCTGGCCAGCCGGTTGATAGAGTCCTGGGTCCTCCTTTCATCACTTTTTTGCATAAGGGTTTGCCAAATGGGGAATAAAAAAACAACTGACACTTGTAAGGACCACAGCAGTGTTTTGCTGTGTGGTTAGGGACAGTGCTCCTGTTATTCACTGAGGTCACCTGTTGCTCACCCACTGAAATATGCCCCACACCCAATGGATAAGCACCAGTCCCAAAATATCTTGTTCACCTCAGGATTCCTTGCTAGAACGTCTCAGATGTATATTTTTTTTGTGAGCCACAGCCAGTTCAGATCTCCTGGCGTCTAATTTTCATGTAGGAGCCAACTTAACATCTACTTAAGCAGTGGCAGTCCCTGGGCAAGCACTCCCTGTGAAAAATGACGGGGTGTTTCCCAATAATGTGCAGTTCGAGTAATTTCACGGAATGAAAAAAATCACTCCCCCCCCCACCCCCCCACCATTCAACCTGCACTTAGAAAGAAGTCAAGGCCTCCCCCACCCCCAATCCACGCCGGATCGCGTGCGGAGGTGCTTTAAATATAGATCCTCGTGGAAGCAATTCCCCCTCCCCCCCCCCGGTAAAGTCCCATAAAGCCAAATGGAAATATAATTACAGTTTTGTTTCTTGGTGCCTGTAGCTTAATTGTGTGGCTTTGGTGCGAGGGGAGGGGCCAAAGCTCCTGTGGAGCACGCAGCCATCTACAATCACACGCTCCTTTTCGCCAAGTGTCAAGTAACAAATTGGACAAGGCTTGGCTCAGGAGCACTCCAAGTGACAGGACACGGTCTGGCGGCGTTCCCGGGATCTGTAAGCCGCCCTGCCCTCCCCTCGATGTTCCGTTTTCCCGTATTTCCGGGGAGCGAATGTCAGTGGCTGCCCTCCGGACCCAGTCAGTGCAGAAACGGGCCGAGGGAGCGCAGAACCAGAGCGATTCTGTGCCGACTAAGATTACCACATTCTTACCGTCATTTCTGTCATACGGGTTTATGAGAGAAGCTGAATAATATCCCCTCGGGTCAACGTGTTTGTACAAGGTCACAGACATGAAATTTACACAATAAACAGACAAAGTAATGTGTATAAGGTAACATGAGCGGTGCCGTCTTAGTCAGAACTCTCCTCTGATGGCTTTGGGTCTGAAGCCTGTTTACAAAAAGACTGCTGTGGCCCTCCAGGGACAAAGCGCTATGCTACTCATCTTCAAGTGGGGTTTTTAGGCTGAAAAGGGGGCACAGGGCTCCCCCCTCACAGCAGGGTACGAGTCCTGCCTGCCATCGGCGTGTGGGCTGCGTGTCAGGATTACCTGCACAGATAGATTTGCCCTCAATGTATTTCTGTGCAGAGATCTCCAGTAATTGTAGTTTACAAGTAGCAGGCCTGGCTAATTTGCAGCACACCAGGGCTTTGCAGAAACGGGCAAATGAAGGGACGACACGTGGAAGCTTCCGGGTCAGCAGGGGTACCTCTGTGTGCTTATGAGGCAAGTTGCCCTAGACAGAGGCGTTAGGTGACAGACACAGAGTCAGTCATCCTTGGCAGTCAGAGAATGAGCTGAGCTGAACAGAGCAGCTGAACAGATCAGCTTTTCATTTCCTCCATAAGAATGACCCATCACACATGGATGGGTGGGGGCGGGGGGGCGCAATCCAGTTCGCTGAGACACACAAAGTCCACTGTAAACTCCACACGGGAGATAATAGACTCAGTGACTCAGTAAAGACCGGCGTGTGACAGTGAGCGCTGACAAACACAGACCCCGGCCAAAGCCCTGGACCCAAGCTGCCTGATCAGAAAGGGCACTCTGTCTGTGGCTCAGCACAGCAGCGTGACCAGATTTTCCGTGTAATTTAACGCCCCCGTCAACCCTTTCAACCAGTGCCATCTCTATGAAAAGTTTAAAAATAGCAACAAACTCCAGGCCCCGCCCCCTGCTCTCGGCCCCTGGCAGAGCTGACAATGCCGAAATAAGCGTTTGCTGCTTTTCGTATGCTGGCCGGCCCTCCAAGGCTCCTACGCAAGCTGGAAGGAAACTGCTCAGGAAAAATAACGACACAAAAGGAAGAGGAGAGAAGAGGCTGTTTTTACTGGAATCGAACCGGATATGGGGGGTTGGAGACATGAGGCCAACCGCTGCCGTTTGGTCTTTGGGGAGGGCGGTGTTTGAAGATTCTACAGTGTTTTTAACAAACAACAAATTGGCCCAAAGCGAGCGACAGCCTTTATTGTCCCAGTAATATTCTGTCTGTGATCGACATCTGGGTTTCAGTAAGAGCCTCACTTCACAGAGGCTGCAGAAAACAGCAGAAAGCGGCGGAAGAGCAGTGGCCTTTGGAAGCTTTATGACATTTTCCAGACCGGTGGGGTAGTGATGGGGAGGAACCAGTGCATCATCTGACCACCTGGACAGTGAATATGCCGGCTGCTATAATTATCGCAGCCAGGTGACTTGGCGGTTAAGGACGCGGGTTGTGCCATTGTCTCCCGTGCTACTTTGGGTCGGCGTGGCCCCAGCTGACCCGCCTTTACCTCTGATGTCATCGGCCGCTTAAAACCCTCACAGAAAAAGGAGGTCATCTTTAAGGCCAGGTTTGGCGCTGCTGGGGAAACGTGTTCCTTGGCTCCCTCCGAAGGTAAGTGGGCCCCCAGGGACACGCTGGGGAGTGTTTTACACGCACCCACGCGAGTAAGGTGAGAAGTGCCGTCCAGCCAGACAAACACAGGCCACGATAAAGTATAGCTTGGTGAAGAGTTTTGTGCATATTTTTAACCCATAAGTGCCTCCCTCTGTTTCGGTGAGCTCGTCCTAGCGACGGGCCAGGCAGCGGTGGGAGAGGGAGGTATCGGACCGGGACACAGAGCGGGATGCCATTCCATCCCAGCCCTTTTACTGGGTGACCACTCTCTCCTCCTGACGGTCCCTCTGTAATTATCCTTGCTGGAAGAAAACGGCTCGCTGCCACTGTCATGCACTAATTAATGGACACCAGTCGCCGTGGACACGACCCATCTTGGTGCAGGACCCCATCCTGGGAATGTCAGCACTGGAGCATGGGGGGGGGATTCCGTTCACGTTCTAACACCACTGCCTGTGTATACCCCCCCCCCAAATGCCAGTGCACCATAATTACAGCTGCAAATCCAAACTGCTGCATCCCCTGCAGCAGCTATTTCTGGTCCCATGCGGGTTGTGTTGCAAAATGCAGACGCATGTGAGGGCCTCAGGCGAGATGGATTGCGCCGGCTGGGCCCCATCCACCGCAGGCACGTGCAGATTAGAAGGACGGCAGCGGGAGACCAGCGGGCCAAAGCGACGTCCATATCGCGGTCCAGCTGGATGGGAATAGAACTTTCCGGTTTGATTTTCGGTTCAAAACCTCAGCCGAGGCCGTCCTATGCACGGCAGACCGGCAGCCAGCTCCGGTGGCGGCCTTTCAATCACGAGGTGGGGCCTGACGTTTCCAAAGGGCTGACATCACCAATACAGAGTACAGGGTTTCCAGGGGACGGTTTCCAGGGGACACCCCCCCGTCCCCCGAGCGTATGGGTCCCCGGTGAACATGCCACATGGCGGAACCACGGCTGCATGTAACTGATGGCAACCTCAGCATCCCCTCGCAGCTCGTCGCCAAAGTGAGCAGTTTGACTCCTGCATCCCCTGGGGGATTGACGTGGGGGTGTCGTCCCCTCAGATCAAGCAACAGGCCTGTAATTAAGACATGAGCTTCTGACATGAAGACTGCGGCTTTCCTCTGGCGGGGCTGCTCATTCCATCCACGTTCCAGGGCGGTTTTCCACATGGGATGGGCAAAATCCCTGCCAGGAAGGATCCCACTTCAAAACTCCGGTACAAATCAGGCTCTTTGGAGTCTGGCTCAGAAAAATGCGTAATTAAACGATAAGCGGCCCAAAATCCCTCCCCTTTCCGAGTCGCCTGACGCGAACTGCCGTATCACTGCATCTGACCTGAGCAGGGTCATCCCACGAGTCGCAGAGCGAATAACTCGGATTATTTTGGTTAAAACTGCCGATGTGCCACAGTATCCAGGCCTCGCAGGGTCACTGGGTGCAGCGGGGAACAGTGTGGACGCCCTGGAGAGGAAGGAGGCCTCACCAAACACTGTTAAAGTTAAAAACGAGAGACAAACCACATGACACGAGCACGAAAACACACGGGACGAACATGGCAGCCTCGGGATGGCTTTTGGGTGACAGGCTGTAATTTGTGCCAGCTTGGCGTCCTGTCATATCAGTGCCACTAAGGTATCAGCGCTGCTATTGCTGGGTCTGAAAACAACACAGCCGCAGAGTAATGACATGGCTCACGGGGATCCTGACGTGCAGTGAGGCTCCATTCACACCGGGTGCCCAACAGGCCTGGGGGAGAATGGCATGTGTATGTAACTGAACATTTCAAACCCACAAAATGAAAGAAAAACTCATAGCCACCCACCCCCGAGATTATGCCTGAGAGCGCTGTGTTTACATTTGAATTTTATTTATGTAGCAGATGCTTTTTTAAAGATAAACATTTCTGAGAAAGCAGGGTCGGTCAGTCCCTAGAGCAGGGTGGCCAATCTTATCCACAAAGCGCCGGTGTGTATGTAGGTTTTTGGGGTAACCTTTAGATCAGCTGTTCAAACCCAGGTGTGAGAACTCCTCAGCTAATCAGTAATCTAATTAGGGAGTTTCAGGGAAACCTGTGCACACAGCAGCCCATTCTGGATAAGAATGCCCGCCCCGATTCTAGAGCGACTGCGGGCTAAGGGCCTTGCTCAGGAGCCCAACAGTGACATCACTGTGCAGGGTTTGGGATTTGAGCCGACAACCTTCTGATCACTGGCACAGCATCTTAACCCCCTGGGCCACACAGCACTTACATCACAGTGGCCCCGCCTTCTTCACGGTGTGCCATGGAAAAGCTCAGGTGAGCTGGAGCGACGGTAATGTCAGCAGCAATATTCCTGAGCCGAACAGTCATCCGCCCAAGCAAACGAGACACTTGTTTTGCTGGATGTTAATGGCACAGTGAGGTATTTATAGCCCTACGGCGTATTTGAGCAGGTCTGCAGATGAGGCCCTTGATTCCATGTTTGCATGTCTGCCAGAACTCTTCGTGGTGCTGAGTGTCCTCTAAGGGATGCCCAGAATGGATACTAGAAAAACAACCCATTCTTCTCCAAGTTTCACGAAAAATCCACTTTGCTTTATATTGACTTTGTGTTTCATTCCATTGCTCTTTTTAGATGGATTTCGGTCACTGTGGTGACTGTGGGATATGGCACGGCCTGTCGTAGGTGTGCTGCTGCACAGGTGCATATGAGCAGAGCGTGACACAGGGACCCCGTGGCGCTCCGGCCAATCAAACGAGTGCTCATGAGACAACCGAAAAGCAAACCGAATCCTAGCCTAGGGCTCGGGTCGGCTAAGCCGGCCCGGCAAACAGGAACCGTGAAACCGAGAGGAGAAAGGCAAAATTTTCAGAACACGAAGGGATGTTTTTGTGGTGGAGGTCAGTGTCCATGACGTCAGATGATGTCAGATGCCCCAACACCACGTGCTCCACATACATGAGATACACACAAAGACACACGCAGGCATGCCCTTCTGAGAGGGTGCCTGGCTCCTGCACCGCACAACAATGTACCAAGACCATTCGAAGCGAGACGGGTTAGTCTAACGTGCAGCTATGTCTCGCACAGTCTACTCGCCACACTCAGACGGCGCTCCACTCGTCCGCCACCTGTTTACTTGGCCCAAACGCATCCCTCCATCTTCCCCACGCTGACCGCGTCTGTCCCACGTCCTGCCGACGACACCTATTACCGCCGAGGTTCTGGGCCGCGCGAATTCCGACAGCCACTAACACCATCTTTTGGTCACTGTTGTGGACCAGAATTCCTGATGCACTCCTGTTTTGATCCTCTGCACCTGGAACAAAGACCTTCCCAATCCCGTCATTCATCGGACACTTTGTGATCATTAGTCTGAGCAGCAGGCATGCAAACTGGGCTCGGACCAACGCAGTGTCACGACATCGTTACCTGGGGCCTGAGCCTGTGATCATCACCAGCAAAGCGTTCATTTTTTCCCTCGTATTCGACCTCGAAGGAGTGCTGTTTTCCAGGTAAGAAAATAATATTAAAAAGGGGGTTGGGGGTATTTTCAAGACTCAGTGGTCTTGAAGTCACCCAACAATTAGAAATCATGTGCCCGAAATAATGCAACATCCACCGCGCCTGGATTTCTCAAACAGGAAAACATATGCAAAGGACTGACCGCTCCAAGCCTCACCTGAACCAGAAATACGAGTCTCGACTTAACACGTCCCCCGGAGCTGCTACAGATCGTGGTTTGGAGCAAGGAGCATTGTGTTGTCCAGACCAAAAGCACACAAATACAAAAGGGACTTGTATCTTTTTAAAACATAATGTTCCCGATGTGTTCTGACCAAGTCAGATACACGCAGAGGTACTGGCGCCGTGCCCATCACGGCAGGTTATTCACGCCGCGGTCATACCTGGAGTTCCTCTAAACGCCCTCTTAATTTCATCGAAAGCCTCCTCAGGGCAGGCGAATAAACTGCTTGAAAATGCGGGAAACACGAGCCCACGGTCGCTTTGGGATCATCACACATGAATCATTCTAAGGAGTAAACAGCGCGCTTACTTCGCGGACTGAGCAGAATATTAGTAATCAAAGTAGATAGTCTGAGTGTGTCATACACGCAGTGACCAAATAAAACAAAAACAAAAAATAAAGGTGCAGACTACCTAACCATCCACGCTGACACAGTTTTATTGGCGACACGTAGGCTGTTATTTTAACACCTTTTCCCCACGTGCATTTTCCCAAAGTGACAGCGGGTAATTTCAGAGATGTAGGTTAATGGACCGTATCAGGTTAACCTGCATGAAAACCTGCCATCAAAGAATGACCGCGTCAATGGAACAAGCGACAACAAACAAGCCTCTCTGTATTTTTGTTTAAAATTACCGAACAAACATCAATCATCAACAAACAAGCCTCTCCGTGTGTTTGTTTAAAATTACCGAACAAACAACAACAAACAAGCCTCTCCGTGTGTTTGTTTAAATATTAATTAAAACAGAATGCCTTCATTAACCTATACTGCCGTGCGAGGCTATATATCTCTGTGAAAAGGGCGTTTACAGGAGTTTGGTTTATCTTTTTTCGACAACGGCACTTAACACGTAGGAAAGCCTGACTTGCAGAGATGAGGCCCCTGCGTGAGCCCATGGCCCCTCATTAAAGTCCTTTTATATTCCCCGTTCAGCTGGGAGTCGGTAGATGTGAGCGGTGCGGCAGCACAGTGGACGGGCGCGGAGTGACTGGCCGATCCCCACTGTAACCTTCTCATTCCCAGTTACTGCCGGTGTAAAGTTGCCACGCCTGACATTGAATCCGGCCGCAAGGAAACCATCGAGCGACCATGAAGCTCCCAGGCTGCTGAAATATTAACACTGTATAACCTGCCAGTGAACATTGATCATAATAATCCGATGACAAAAATATCCCGATGGACCGCAGGGATAAAACCGCGGTCCAAACAGACCCGTGACAGCACACTGCGGTCCGAACAGACCCGTGAAAACACACCGCTGTCCAAACAGACCGGTGATAACATACAAGAGTAAAAACAGACCCATGATGACACACAACAGTAAAAACAGACCTGCTATAACACACTGCGGTCCAAACAGACCCGTGAAAACACACCACTGTCCAAACTGACCGGTGATAACATACTGCGGTCCAAACAGACCTAAGATAATATACTGCGGTCTAAACAGAAATGTTATAATACACCGCGCTCCAAAAACACCCGCGATAACACAACGCGGTCCAAACAGACCTAACGTACCGAAACGGACTGAACCCATCGGTACGGCCGCATGCGGTCAGCGGGACGTCGGCATGTCGGAGGACAGGCTTTAAACATTTATTTATTTTTTAATTTCACTACAAAGACGCCGGATCCTGAAATAGCAAATGGCAACGAAATCAAATGATAATAAGACCCTAAAGATGCAGTTGATGTAACCTGAATGAAACGCCGTTTCTAATAAGCCGTTCCTGTTTTGGTGGGTCGCAATAATTTACACTGAATAGACTGAATCAAAAAGTTTCCCACTTACCGGGCCGGTGGGCGAGTGCAGTGAAATCAGCGACCTATAATCATGGTTCATTTGGGGGTGTTTTGGTGTGAGAGATGCCGGTCGGAAATCGGTGTCCTCCCCGGTCTCGGTTTTGAATGGAGCAACTCCGCTGCTCGGCGCAGAGGCTGCGACGTCACCGCTGCCGGGCTCCCCCCGCAGCGGGCCAGCCGGCCGGCTTCCTGCGCTGAAATTACACACGCTGGCACCGGTCCCGATCCACAGCCCGTCAGCAGCGCGCGGCGCTTAGGGCTTACACACAGACTCCAAATGACATGGAGAATCCCCGGAATTCAAGGACAGTTTGAAAATGGGGGGGAAGGGAACCTCAAGAGAGATGTACAGTGTCTGGGAGCATGTGTGGGGGAAGGAGGTATTCGTGGAAGTCAGCCCCAGGAACTGGGGCGCAAACTGAAAAAGTATGACCGAATAAACTTTCAGGATAAAGACTGGCTCTGAATTAAGATCCCTTGGTTGGACTTTTGCCGGTCTTAATATGTAGGATAAAGGCACCCAAGGGAGATGGGGGGGGGGGGGTTCCATGAAAATGTGCAACAAGAGACCAAACTGAACTGTTTTCAGTGTCCTGACACAGAGAGAGAGAGACATTTTTGTTGTGACGGGAGTTTTCTTGCTCTGGTGGTCCTGGTCAGAGCCTAAGACAGTATATCAGTGTTAGTCTGCAGCTGTGCTTTGAAACTGGGGTCGTATAGCAGGACCAGATGGGTTAGGAGAGCGAAAGAGGGCTGTGGGTGTAGGGCCGTCTTCCCAGGACTCTGCCAGTGTGTCCATATCAGCTTTTATTCCCAAAGGCTAATCCCCACCCGCTGCTCCCACAGAGCAAGGCGGGCAGTAGCACGTATGAATACACTAACCATCACTGCAGTGTAACAGTGGGGTCAGTTGCAGCCGACGCCACATTCTGCCAATACAGTACTGATACAGTACAGTAGAGGCTTCTGCACATCCCACTCTTCCACAGACAGGGGGCAGTAAAACAGACAAAGGACAGACATTCACAGGAAATTCTCAAGGCAATGTGACCATATTTGAACGTCCGACTTCATTTTGCAATTACCTTTTGTAAATTTTAACCGTACATAACAAACATGCCTTTAACATCTTATACAGACAAGTTCTGCGGTATGTTACATAACGAACCACTAACAATATCTGGCATTTGACCTTCAAAACTAGTCATGCTAGTTTGTGACAAAGGGTTATTAGTTGAAGAGAATACTCAGATTAGCTCTCCATGGAGTACAAATACCAAACAGAAGATACAAAGCATCTAATTTTTGAGAGACGTAAGTGCTTGTTTTTAGTTCAGGTAGTCAGTGGCTTCATTTATAAAACGTACCTGGGTTCGACCACCTTCAGAAGAGGTACAGGATGTTGTTAAACCAATACACCATTTAGGAAAAGTGAAGAAAAATGTTAAAGTTCTGCTTTCGAACGAGAGTAGAAGTAACCCAGCTGCATCATATTTTGTCTGTTCAGAGTTACGGTACAGCAACACGGTCGCCGTCATCGGTGTTTCACAGCTCAGAGAAACTCACCTCACTCTGAATGGTGGACAGGCTCCTAGAGTGAGCATAAATCTGCCTCGCGAGGAGTCTCTCTGCGCAAATGTCTTCATCAGTGCGCTGCATTAATTTGTTTTTACCCCACAGGCAAGACTCCACACTCACAGCACAAACCCAGTAACTCCAGTACTTGAAGGCGACTACTTGGCGAGCGATTACGGCAAGCTCTGAGAATGTGAGAGCGACCTTTACGGGGGATGGGAGCCGTCGGAGCGGCGTGGGGGAGCACATCGGTGCTGAATGATGGGATGAGGTCATCACTCATGCGCCAGTGAACTTTTTAATGACAAAGAACCCACAGTGACACAGAAAACATAACAAGGATATGAGATATTATAATTGCACTATGAATCTCTGCACAGTCATCTGTAATACTTTAAATGTGGCGGCACAGGCCCTGCAGAACAGAAACCAGAACAAGTATATAAAAATAGGCCATTAGATTCATATCAACAAATTCAAGACTCGGTAACACTATGTACAAAGAAGGCAATATATACCAATATTTACAATACACACGGGACTTCTTCCACAAACAGGCAGAAATGCTACTTCACAAGAACACGAGTTACGGAATGCAACAAGACAACTGATATCTGTCTGCATGGTTTTCATCGACTGGGGTGGCGTCCATCGTGCTCGGCGTATGCAGCAGAGGATCCTGGGATGCCTGGATGGTGAGAGATCTTCTGCTTCGCAGTTGGCTCCACTCAGTCGGCACATGAACAAACACTCCCCGCACCCATAACCCTTCCGTGACATGCCCCCGGCAAGTACATCATACCAGCAATTTACGGGTCCTTTAAAATCCTCATTTTGTCATATACAATGACAAGACACATCATCTCAAGGGGGGGGGGGGGGGGTATCTTTCATCTGTATGAGAATCTAGACTACAATTTTGCAGGGATTTTAAATATGAGGGTCAAAGACCTTGGAATCAGAGTAAACTGAAAAACAAATCCTCAGGTGCAGAAGAATCACCAGTGAAGAGCAGATCTTGCAAACGGGCTGGAGAAAATGGTGCAGTCTCCCTAAATGCACACGAATCAAATGGTGAGCCTGGCACCGATACCCGGGCACGAGAGTGCACTGACATGACACGAACGCCACAGCCTCACTCAGATCGTGGCCTCACCCTGACGTTAAAGCTAACAAAATGCCCACGGTGCTGCATGCATCAGGGAACCGGGAAAGCAGGCTGGGGAAACGGCCCCCCTCTGTACATCTCTTCCTGCTTCCCCCCCCGTGTATCACTGCTCCTGTATGGCATGTGGCAATGGGATTTAGGAAACCGATTTCCCCTCGCAGACTGCCCTGTGAGACATCTACCAAACGCCGAATTGATGCATAACCAGGCTCTTATCCAAGTTCAGCTCCTTAATGTACTCAATGGAGATTCTCATACACTACTGGAAAGACCCCTGGTGAGACTGGGATCCTGGGGCAGATCGTTGGACGAGGGTGGGTGGGGGGTGGGAACCAGAAAATCTCAAGTCAGGATTCCCTGTCCTGGTGTAAGAGCTACTCTGAAGCGATTTTGAAACACGTCCATCTGGATCCAATGCGCAGATGCCAACAGAGCCCACTGGTCCATCACTGGCCAGACTGGCAGGTTAACTCTCCTTCCACTGGATACTAAAAGGAGCCCGTTCAGCCCTTCAGGGTAACAGACATCTTAGAGGCCTGAATAAAACTTCACCTTCCACCTGCACCGGCTGCATGTAGCCACACAAAATTAAATTAAGTGCTGTAAAAGATTTAACAAAAAATTAAAACATAAAACATAAATACTGTACAAAAGTGTTTCCCGGTGCAATACCAAGGCAGAATGTATCTTTAACTAGTAGCGTGCTGTTTAATATATATATATATAATTTTAAAAAGAAAAACTTAAAAATGGCGGAAAACGAGCGATTATGTGTGAATAAGCTGCTGGATTTGGAAGGCTGGTGCTTGGCGTGTTCCCACAGACTTGCAGTGCGGTCACATGATGGCATATCATGCCCTCGCCCAGTGCCCCCTGGGCACACGCATCAGTTACTGCGGCGTTACTCTTGTACAGTAACAATCAGGAGATTAAATACATAAAGCATCTTCATTAGACGTGTCACAGTTGGAACTGACAGTAGAGATCACATTTTCACTGGCTGGAACGCGTAGCCGGGGGTCGCGTCCTGTTGGCGTTCTCTCCGTTTCTCACTCACTCCGCCCACTTCAGGCCTGATTGACTGTAACCGGATTAGCTCAGGATTTGGTCCGTGGTAGCAGCGCCGGGTCCACTAACTTCAATACTAATCTTGCTGCTCCATCTCACCTTCAAAGAACAGGCTCTCCTTCCTCTTTTATATGACCTTGCTTTCTGTTACTCACTCGGGTCGCAGAGTGAGGAGACAGGAGTACGAGCAGACCGCGACTGACATCTAACACAAAAAAAGACAGCGAAAGTAAAACACAATCATCCACCGAAACTAGTAAAGACATGACCCGGACGAGGGGACCCCCTTCCCACATTCTCATAGACATGCTGGTGGCCAATCAGAAAACATTTAGGAAGGGGGATAGCAGAGAGTACGTGCTGATTGGCAAGTTCCGGTGGGGGTGGTCCTTGGGAAGGGGGAGTGTGAGGATGGGCAAAATGCTGAGGCTGGAGGCGGGACTCACACCCTCCACAGGAGCAAGTGGTTGGTGCTATCATCCCGCCCCACTGTCTCGCTGCTATTGGTCAGCCGGAAGTCCTCATAGCCGTCACCCCCGCTGATGACCAACAGGTTGGACTTGGCAGGGAGGGATGCTGAGGTGCGTCGCCGGGCAGAATCTCGTCTTTGGAGGCCGGAACCACCGCTGTTTCCACTCTGGGTGGGATTAGCTGGAGGCCAAAGGGCAAAAGTCATAGGTCAATTACATTGGTTAACAACGGTATATGTATCCGTGCAATTGACTGTCATATCAGTGGTCGCAGTACCTGACTCAGGCTGTGGGGGGAAGCAGAGGTCAAAGCCCTCTGGCAGCTCGATGGCAGTGAGGAAACGCACGTGGCCCGTGTGGCCGTGGGCGGAACCCATGGGAGTCAGGGGACCGCGTAACGAGCTAGATCCACCACTGGCTGAGACAGGCGGGATGGCCAGTGTCAGAACCACTCCAGCGCTGGTCCCCACCCAGAGCAGGTCCTTGCAGGCCAGCAAGGCTGTGATCCGCAGGCAGGCTGCCTTGTGTTGCCGGATAATAGCATCTGAACCTGGCCATGGAGAAGTTGCATGCCACTCAGCTTCCCAGACCAAGCTAATTGTACTCAGACCAAAGTAAAGACAAAGGGCCTATAGCCGTAAAGATGAGCTCACCTGCTAACATCTTGTGAACGGCAGGCGCTACGTCCACTTCGGTCAGACATTCACAGGTGGGGGCGTGATAGAGACGCACCTGAGCACTGCCCTGCAGGGCAATCCAAACGCCCTGACCATAACTCACCATGCTGGTCACACAGCGACTGCTGTCCTGGCCAACCTGGAAAGAATGCTGCAGAGGGACAACACATCACAGTTAGCGACGCGCTAAACAGGAGCAGACAGACCCAAACTCTACAGCTATAGACCAGACGAAAGCAGATGGAGACCAAACTCTACAGCTATGGACCAGACGAAAGCAGAGGGAGACCAAACTCTACAGCTATGGACCAGACGAAAGCAGAGGGAGACCAAACTCTACAGCTATGGACTAGACGAAAGCAGAGGGAGACCAAACTCTACAGCTATGGACCAGACGAAAGCAGAGGGAGACCAAAATCTACAGCTATAGACCAGACGAAAGCAGAGGGAGACCCAAGCTTGGCAGCTAAGGACCAGACGAAAGCAGAGGGAGACCCAAGCTTGGCGGCTAAGGACCAGACGAAAGCAGAGGGAGACCCAAGCTTGGCGGCTAAGGACCAGACGAAAGCAGAGGGAGACCAAACTCTACAGCTAAGGGCCAGATGGGAACAGAGAGAGATCCAAACTCTACAGGTACAAGCCATATGGGAGCAGCGTTGGAATGTGTAGATCCTGCCCATTCTCTTCACATTGTGCTTTTGCAGCTCAGCGCCCGGCATGGTACCTCCTGGGTCAGGGTGTTGGTGTTGACGATGAGGATCCGGTTTTGGCAGCCGCACCACAGCTTCCCAGCAACAGGTACCATCTTGGTCACTGGGCCTCCAGGGGTCCCCAGGCATAGTGTCTGGGAGCTCTGAGGGTCCCAGAAACTTCCTGTGGGAGGGGGTTGGGGTGCAAGTAATTAAAAACATTCACCTATGCCAGTGGTGTTTAGTCACATAAATGGGTCATTTATTAGCAGGACTCAGTGACACATATAAAGTCTAGGAGTCATTGGGAATAATTAATATAATCATGTTCATATGACGAGAGATTTTATTATTTTGACTATTTTCTCACCTGCTTCTCTTTGATAGACAATGACCTCCCCATTAGCCAAAGACACAAAAACCTTGTTGTCAAGGTACCTGAGAAGGAACCAAAGGAAAAATCACACCACAAAAATCACTATGCTAGTACCAGAGGTGCCCCCTAAGCCGGCAGAACGAGCCCTTACAGGATGCTCAAGATGGACGCTGCATGTTGCATCTTCATGCTGTTCTTTCGGTTCCGGATGTTGTCCGACGACTGGTAGACATGGATACTGCCAGGGAAAGTGACCAAGAGACCATGAGGCCCAACACACGATGAGAGACCATGAGGCCCAAAACACGGTGAGAGACCATGAGGCCCAAAACACGGTGAGAGACCATGAGGCCCAACACACGATGAGAGACCATGAGGCCCAAAACACGGTGAGAGACCATGAGGCCCAACACACGATGAGAGACCATGAGGCCCAAAACACGGTGAGAGACCATGAGGCCCAACACACGG